GCACAGTGCATGGAAAAGCTTTGGATTCCCACCAAAAAATATCCAGGCATCAATTTTGTTGGTCTTTTGATCGGGCCCCGTGGCAATGAGCTCAGAAAAATGGAGCGAGAATCCGGGGCTAAAATTTCTATCCGCGGCAAAGGTGCCGTTAAGGAGGGAAAGTCAAACCAGCCTGGTGCCGAAGAGGAGCTCCACGCATATATCACCGCAGACTGCGAGGAAAAGATTCATGCTGCAACCAAATGTGTCAATCGAATTATCAGCATTGCAGTTTCATCTCCAGAAACAGACAATGAGCTAAAGAAACAGCAGCTGCGCGAGCTAGCCGAGATCAATGGAACATTCAAGACAGAAGACATGGAGATTTGTTCCAATTGCGGTGCTGTTGGCCATCGTAAATATGACTGTCCCGAGCAGAGAAACTTTACAATCAGCCTCGTTTGCCAGGTATGTGGGGCAATGGGCCATCTCTCGCGCGATTGTATGAACAGGCATGACCCAACCATCTTGCGTGCATCCAACGAGCGGCAGAAGCGGATTCAAACAGAGTATCAAAGCTTTATGTCTGAAATCAATAAATAAAATTCCGATTGCCAATTTTTGGGTCTCTTGGATTATGGGGAAGGGGGGGTGGTGGTACCACCGCCCCTACATTTTGGCATTGTGCAAAAGTTTCGAGATTTAATTTTGTCTTAATTTCTTTCACTATTTTAGCTCTATTCCATTTTAGGTGTTCTGAGCATAAATCGACAAAGGCTGTCCGGATAGGCAAAAATTCATTTTTTCAACGACTGAAAGTTCCATGTCCAGCGATGCTACTTTGGTATTTGTGATTCGACAAAATTTCCCGGGCGCAAGGCGCAGCATTCAGTGCATGCGACTTGGATACGGTGTACTTCCTCAATGCTTTGTCTATAAACTCGCTGCCGGTTCTTTCCACTTTGATGGGATGGCCAAATCCCTTCACGGGATCAATGCCAAATGCACTCGCTTAATCTTCAAAGCCGAAATAAATTCTCCTAAAACGGTCGATAAACTAAATGAAGCAATCCACAATAATATTTTTCGCAAAATCGTAAATCCATGAGAAGAGGCCATGTGCAAACATCACACAAACTAGGGGTTGAAGAGAGGGCCAATGGAATTCATGCTATTTGTTGATAATTAAATTTGCATCAATCACCACTATATCAATTAATAAATGCAAACATTCCGAGAATTTGACATGAAGTGTATATTTAATTATTAGGGAGGACGAGAAAAATAAAATTCTATTTTTTCTTCGTCATTTTGGGTGACGAAATCTGTTTGGCTAGTTCTTCAGGAATAGAATAAAAACTGTTATTAATCAAGATTGGGGATCCAGAGCCAACTGAAAGGGCCAAGGTCTTTTTATCTACAGGCTTTAGAATCTATCGAATTAAGGAAATATATAACCTGAAAAGAGCATGTTAGATTTTCATCAACTGACATAATGGCACCGGCATTATCAAATTCGCCGCAGTAATTTGGAGCAGAAAAAATTGTAACAAGCCCCCTTTTGGCAAAAAATTCATATCCATCTTCAACAACTTGATGTGCTCGGCAAATTAAATCCAAATCGTGGATATCAAGAAATTCTTTGACAACATCCGGACCAAATGTAAA